AAGAGCAGGAGTCCTTGACAAGGACTCGTTACTACTACTCGACGGCAGAGAACTCCAACGGGCACGAGGAACATGCCTTACCTGCCCCGAAGCCGACTTACCACATCGACCGTTCGCTCCTCATCACAACCCGGGCGCACCCGCGTACGCACCACTCGAAAAGGTGTATAGCGACATCCTGTACAATTGGGAACCAGGACAAGTAATCTACAACTACACAATCACCTTCATCGACGCCGCCACCTGTTACGTCTGGCACCTAAACCTACCCAGCCGCGACATGGTCCTCGAAGCATTCGCTGCTTGGCTACCAGTAGCAGAGAGAGAGTCAGGCGTAAAGCTGAAAAGCTTCCAGTCAGACGGAGGAGGAGAATACACCTCTCAGCGATTCAAGCAGTACCTGGCGGAAAGGGGGATCAAGCAGCTCCTCTCTCTTCCCTACGCCCATCAGCAACAAGGTGTAGCAGAAAGAATGAACAGGACTCTGCAGAACAGCATGTGCAAACTGTTACGTGGCATGCGGCTACCCAACCACCAGTGGCCTGCAGCAATGGACCACGCTGTCATGATGCACAACTTGCTGTCGTCATCATCGCTTCCGAACAACGCATCACCGCATCTGCTGTGGACAGGGAAACAGGGCAGCACAAAAATGTTACGAGTGTTCGGATGCATGGTACAGTATCGACCCCCAGCAGCACGAGCGGGCCGATTTTCACAACGCGCACAGTGGGGACTACACCTCGGCATCGAAAAGAATTACAACGCGTGGAAAATCTTCGACGTCCACTCCAAGGAAACAGTAGCAACACGTGACGTCATTTTCTACGAATGACTCACGCTCCAGACATACCTTGCCAACCTGTAAGAGGACCAAGATCCCACAGGTGGTTTTCGTGGCAACCGAGCCTTCGCCTCCGCAGAAGACGAAGCTGACTGGGACGAGCAGAATGTGGACAGCGCATCAAAAGATGCCGGACCTCTCCCGTTCTGCTCCGTCGACGTTCCCATGGACGAAGACAACCCTCGCGAAAGTGTCAACGCCGAAACCTTCTACTACTTCGCCGACAACGGTTACGTAACACCTGCGACAGTCAACACCAACGAAGTAGAACAAGTAGGACCGAATTTCATACCTGATCCAGAAGCGGGAGATGAAGCAGCTTATCCCGAGGATGCAACTCTTCCCCGCTACTCATAGACTGGACTGCAGATACTTGGCCTCGTCACCGCAGTCCACGGCAACACCCTTCCTAAGGAGCCTGCGACGGTTCAGCAGGCTCTGGGGGGGGAACACAGGGAAAAATGGCGTGAAGCCATGGACAGAGAGTAAAAGGCGCTGGAGGAACGGAACACCTGGAAATTTGTCCCCATCAACGTGGCGAAGAACAAGACCATTCTCACTGGGAAATGGGTCTTCCGCGTTAAAACAAAAGCAGACGGCACAATTGAGAAGTTCAAAGCACGCTGGGTTGTGCGTGGATTCGATCAAGAGCACGGACGGGACTTCACCGAGACATTCGCCCCGGTTAGCCGACACACCTCCCTTCGAATCCTCCTCGCGATCGCCGCCATGAAGAAAAAGAAGCTGCGGCAAATTGACGTCACTAACGCATTCCTCTACGCACCCGTCGACGCAGAAATCTTCGTCGAGCTCCCACACGGTACCAACGGGGAGCCCAACCAGGTTTGCCAGCTACTGAAATCGCTCTACGGAATCAAACAAGCCCCGCGGCTGTGGCAACAGTACCTACACGCTCGCCTCATTCGCATCGGATTCCGCCAACTACCTCACGACCAAGGAATGTACCGACTCACGAAGGGTACCAACTACATCCTGCTGATCGTCTACGTAGACGACCTACTTTACATCGGCTCCACTGACGACATCACCACCTGGTTCGAAGGGGAATTACAGAGGGACCTCACACTCACGGTCTCCTCTACCGTCACACAGTACCTCGGCTTGAACATTCGAGAGGAAGAAGACGTGATCTACCTCAACGCCGCTAAGTACGCCGACACCATCGCCAAACGCTTCGCGCTCACGCCTACCACCATCTCTACGCCCTATCGCTACGCGACAGGAAACCACGAGGAAGGATCTACTCTACTCAAATCCGCCGGGATACGCGACTACCAGAGAAAGCTAGGATGCCTTCTCTTCGTAGCTGTTACCTGCCGCCCCGACCTCTCATACTCCGCAAGCCAGCTCGCCACTCATCTCAAGAGGCCTGAAGCAAAACACATGGCCGAACTCGACTGTGCTCTACACTATCTCGTCAGTACGCCAACGTTCGGCTTAACATATCACAAGAACGCGACCACGCCACCTAAGCTAATTGGTTACGTCGACGCAGATCACGCGGGCGACTCCGACAACAGACGATCACGCACCGGGTACATCTATCGCTTCGAGCCTATCGGGCCTATCTCCTGGCAATCGAGCAAGCAGGAACTAATTGATCTCTCGTCAGCTGAAGCAGAATATATTGCACTCTGCTCAGCCACCAAGGAAGGACTCTATCTCCGTGAGCCGCTGGAAGAAGCGAAGTTAGCCGAGTTACCCAACTTTACCCTGTTCTGCGACAACTAGTCGGCAATTCGCATCGCCAACAAGAACGGTTTTGCGAACAGGACGAAACACATCGCCCTGCGATACTTCTTCGTGAAGGACGAGATCGAGAAGGGAAGGCTCGAGCTGTTATACTGCCCCACGTCCGAAATGGCAGCTGACTACCTGACCAAGAAGCTCGGAAAGCAGAAATTCGAATATTGCATGCTGCTGACTGGACAGAGCCACGTCAGCGACACTCCAGAAGCGAAGGGGAGTGTTGGAAACAATCGGTCCTAAGCGCCTCTGTCGTGTCGAAACACTAAGGCACAAGCGAAGCGAAGCATACCGAAGCACCGGCGAGTCAACCCTCGGAGGTTGAAGTAACCGCTGGAGGTTACTCGAAAGTCAAAGGTCAGCGACCTTTGACCAGACAAGTACAGCGCGACAGCAAGGACACACAACTGACTCGACATTGAGCAGTTGCCCGAGTCGCACTGTATCGAACCGCAACAGCAAAACAGTTTAATTATATCTCTTCGTATTCTTTGTACTCTTATATAAACCTTTGTACTTGCTTGTTTTAATCAACTTACTTTGCCCTCACATACTAGCGCAAGGTGGTTCAGAATCTCTTTGTTAACGCTTCCACTACTACATCACTCTACCGAGAGATTAACCCTACCAAAAGATCCTAAGGGGCACTCAGCCCAACAGCGAGAAGTTGGGCGAAACCAAAGCCCTCAACCCACCCAACACCTCGACTAGCCAACCCTGCTCCCTCACCTCCCAACATGCAACTTTAGTAAAGTTGTACAATTTGGGCCGCGAGCTTTAAGACACTGCGGTAAAGGGGATCGGAAAGTCAGCAATCAGAAGGCAACTATCTCAACTGTTGACTGACTAAGATCGTATACATGGTAATCATGATTTTTCACCCAATGTAATTTGGGAGAAGGTTGTTTATTGAGCTTCATGCCAGTTGTTGCGATGCAAGCGTATGAAATCGCTTGGATGACACAATTTTTTACCTCTGTACCAGTACCAGCGTTGCAGGTCATACGGTGGGCTCTAAAACAGAACCACTACACGCAAGTGAAACAGAAGGGCCATGCACTAGGCCTGTACACTACCAAATTTGTGAGATTCCACACAATGCCACTTTTTTATCTACCAGGCTGAATGCTTCTAAACCTCTACATACACCAGTTAATTACGGTTTATTAGGTTAACGGGTACAAAAGTACTGTAGCAGGCCTGATTCATGACGAACCACTCCCCTCACTGCCTCTAAAGCCCCGTTCCTTGGAGGAAGCAGAGTTGCGAATATCTGCTAGCGAGAGACACTTGGAGGACCCGTTGCGACCAGCAGGCACCACTACCCCACCTCCCTTCCCTCCTCCATGCACCACCTGCTGCTGCTGCTGCGAGTAACGGTACTGCTGGTGTTGGTACGGGTGCTGCTGGTGCTGCTGCAGCACCTGTTGTGCGCCCACAAACCCCCCTCTGGTCTGAGGATTTCCCCTTGGGCTGGAATCAACCAACAGCTCCAAATTCAGGTTGCCCTGCCTCACCTGCTGCCGATGCAAAGCATCCAAACCAGAAACTGCTCCTGCCGCTCCTGCTGCCCCTGCCGCTCCTGCTGCCCCTGCCACTCCTGCTATTCCTGGTAATCCAGATAAACCTGGCGCTATGTCAGGCCTGGTTAATGCTGGCCGAGGGGACAGGTATGGTCTTCCTCCTCCTCCTCCTGCTGCTGCTGCTGCTGCCGCTCCTGATACTTCCAGTGCTTCCGCTGTAGCATCATCATCTTGATCAGCAGCAGCAGCAGCAGGAGGGAAAAGCATCCAGCTTTTTAGGCTGCCTATGCCTCCCATGCTGCTAGCCCTACTGATACCGCCTGTTCCTGTATTCCTGGCAGATGCACCACGCTTCCTCTCCTGCACCACACCATTCACACCATCCCTGCCACTGCCACTGCCGCTGCCCCTCGCACTAGGTCTGGTTGCAGAACGAGGCGAGGCATTAGCAACAGCAGCAGCAGCTGCAGCAGAAGTGGGAGTGGGAGACGGCAGCAGTCGCCTGCTCATGGGGCTGTCCCCTCCTCCAAAGCCGCTACTGATTGAGGCAGAGACCCTGTGCCGCCCCTGTCGCTGCTGCTGCTGCTGCTGCTGGGGAGGAAGAGGATTAACCAAGTAATCAATCACCAAAGAGTCACCGGCAACAGCAGCAGCAGAAGCAGCAGCACCAGCAGCAGCACTACCGCTTCCCATGCTCGATCCTGTATTCGCACTCCTGCCAGCACTAACACCCACAGCACCACTTGCACCACCGTATCCCCCTGCTGCCTGCCCTCCACGTCTCTCCCCTTCAATGGGGATGCTAGAGGGGAAGGAACTCCAAGAGCAGACCCTATGGTGCCCGAATTGCCTACCTGTTGATCCCCCTACTCCTCCTCTTCCTCCCCTTCCTCCTCCTCCTCCTCCTCCTCCTCCTCCTCCTCCTCCTCCTCCTCCTCCTCCTCCTCCTCCTCCTCCTCCTCCTCCTCCTCCTCCTCCTCCTCCTCCTCCTCCTCCTCCTCCTCCTCCTCCTCCTCCTCCTCCTCCTCCTCCTCCTCCTCCTCCTCCTCCTCCTCCTCCTCCTCCTCCTCCTCCTCCTCCTCCTCCTCCTCCTCCTCCTCCTCCTCCTCCTCCTCCTCCTCCTCCTCCTCCTCCTCCTCCTCCTCCTCCTCCTCCTCCTCCTCCTCCTCCTCCTCCTCCTCCTCCTCCTCCTCCTCCTCCTCCTCCTCCTCCTGCACCTGATTCTCCTCCTGTTCCTCTCCCCAATCCTCCTAAGATTGTGCCTGATCCCAAACCTGACCCCGAACCGGACACCAGACCTGAGCCAGAACCTGACCCCGAACATGACCCCGAACCTGACCACAAACCTGTACCCAAACCTGAACCCGAACCTGATCCCGAGCCTAACCTTACACGTCTCCTCTCCCACAAGCCCTGTTTCGCCATCAGCCCTTGGGAAGGGCTACTTGCAGCAGAGTGCTCTAAGGGGTATTCTGCAGAATGCCCTCGTTTTAAATCCTCTCCAGCAGAATACCCCCCCACAAAATAACCAGAGGAACGCATCTCCCCTACTCTCCCCTCCCCGCGTGTCCCTTGGCTCACCGCAATCGCCGCCGCACCCCTTGCATCAGCCCCTCCCCCAATACTATCCTCGCAACTCTCCAGCCCGTCCCGCATCCATACCTCCTCTCCACCCATCTCCATCCCTCTAGAATCCTCTGCACCTGGACTCTCACCATCCTCAGATGGCTCTGGGTAGTAGGGAGTGGGAAGGCGGGGCGGGGAGGCTCGAAAGAAATGATCGTCACAGAAAGCATCGGCTTCGGAAGCTTCTGCTCTCTGCCTTTCCCCGTTGGTGAGAGCATGGGGAGCAGCAGCATGAGCAGCAGCAGGAGGAAAGGGGGCATGAGCAGGAGACGACAAGGGAGGAGGAGGAGGAGGGATGTGATGAGACAGGGCAGGCATATCGTCCCTGGCATATCGCATTGCTGCTGCTGCTCCTGCTGCCGCTGCTGCCGTTCCTCCATCATGCATCGGTGGATTGTCTGATTTCTGCACATGCATTCCCACCACACGCTCTTGCTGCTGCTGCTGCTGCTGCTGCTGCTGCTGCTGCTGCTGCTGCTGCTGTTGCCACCGTTCTAAGCTATTGGCCCGTCTGCTCCCATCGTTGCTGCTCTTATCCATATGCTCCGACTGCTGTTTCAGTATCCCTTTGTTTACCATACGCGGAGCAGAGCACAAGACGGTGCCACTCCCGCTGCTCTCTCCACTACTGCTGCCGCCACTGCTGATGCTGCTAATGCTGTTGCATGCACCACCGCCATACCCACTGCTGCCGCTGCCATTACCCAAGCCGCTGCCGCTGCCGCTGCAGCTTCCACTGTAACTGCTAACAAGCTTCCCTGTGCCTTCAAACTGCTGCTGCTGCTGCTGCTGGCGAGGAGGCGGAGGCAGAGAGCTGCTGTGCAGGTAGTGCACACGCACTGGCTCCTTCCAGCTGCTACTGCTACTGCCGCCAGCCCCGTCCATACTTCTGCTTCCCCTTCCACCACTCCCGCTCCCAACCTCGAACGCACTCCCATTCTTCCCCTGCCTCCCTAGCTGCTGCAGCCACACTTCCGCAGCCTCCTCCTCCCCTGCTTCCTCCTCCTCCTCTCTGCTTCTTCTCCCTTCCTCTCCCGTTTCTCCTGTGCCTACCCTAGGGCTACTTCCTGCCACGCCAGCAGCTGCTGCTGCCAGCTCATCATCCACGTCAGCATTGTCCGGAGAAAGAGAGTAGGGCGTGGGGGATCGGAACACCATGCCTCGTTTCATCAACAGTTGAGTTTCTTGAGATGAAACCATGCTGGCGCGAAGAGTGCTGCTGCTGGCGGCATTCCCGCCACCACCATTATCACAGCCACTGCTACCACCATTGCCACTGCCACTACCACTGCCATCACCACTAACATCCCCACTGCCCCCCAGACTCCCAGTGCTATCCCTTCTCCTTCCAAGGCCAGTCGCACCACCAGCAATCTCACTCCCACTCACACTCCCACTTCCACCGCCGCCGCCGTTGCCGCTGCCGCCGCTGCTGCTGCCGCGGCTGCTGCCACGGCCAGTGATGGTGCTACTGCTAACATGACTCAGGGAGCTCTTGCCTCGGGAGGGGAAAGGCGCCAGCAATCCCACGTGTGTGGGTGAGCCCACACCGCCTCCACTCGCAGTGCGCCCCATTCCTCCCATTCCCCCCATTCCTCCTCCTCCTATTCCTCCTGGGAAACCCTCTCCTGTGATTTCTCCTCCTGTAACCCCTCCGTAAACCCGTCCTGTAACCCATCCTCCTGCGCCTCCTCCTGACACCAGTCCTTCTGTGAACCCTCCTCCTGCAGTTGCTCCTGCTCCTGCCCCTGCCCCCACTCCTGCACCTGCCCCTGCTCCTGCCCCTGCTCCGAGTGCCAGAGCCGCGGCGAATCCAGGCAGGTTTGCAGCGCCCACAGGCAGGGAGTTCTGGCGCAGTTGAAGCGCTCGTGATGCTGCTGCTGCTGCTGCTGCGGGGAATGCTGCAAAAGCAGCACCACTGCCACCGCTGCCACCGTTGCTAGTGCCAGTGCTGCTCGCATTGACCGGGCTGAACCCAGCAATACCCAACCCAAGCCTGCTGCTGCTGCTGGCATTGCTGTTGCTGATGATACCACTGCTGATGCTGTTGCTGCTGCGGTGCCTGCCGCTTACAGTGGTGCTGATGGCTCGTCTGACTAGCGGGGGTGCAGACGGGCTGCTATGTATCCACACTGCATCGCTGCTGCTCTGTCTCTTGCTGCTCGGACTAGCGACAGCCGCAGCAGCGCAAGCAGCAACATCAACACCAGCAGCAGGCTCGGATAGGGCAGCAGCAGCAGCATCACCCTCGCCAGTGCAATCAGCGTCGTCATTTTCCTCGTCGCTGTCGGCAACAGGGTAGTAGGGCGTGGGTTGCCTCTCCGAGACCTTACCCCCCAATATCGCCTCCAGATGCTCCCTCTGCTCCTCGCTCGCCCCGGCTTCTGCCACTGCTGCTGCTGCTGCTGCGAGATCCTGCTGCTGCTGCTGCTGCTGACGCATAAATGGTATATCGCTTCGACCCCCCTGCCCGTGCCACTCCTGCTCCTCATTCTCCTGCTCCTGCTCCTGCAGTTCCTGCCGCTGCCGCTGCAGTTGCAAATGCTGCTGCCCCTGGTGCTGTTGCCTCGGAATCTGCATGGTTGAAACGGCCAAAGCTTCTGCTGCCACTGTTGGCACTGGGGAGGCTTGCAGAGGAGGGGGGGTGGAGCGGCCGTTGTAAAGCTGTTGAGTGGGAGGCGATTGTAGCATATAGTTGTGATAATACTGCTGCTGCTGCTGCTGAGGCATTTCCATGCCTGTCGCATTCCCAACTCCGTTAAAAGGGGAAGGAAGAGAACCGAGAACAAATCTAGTTGAATCGGCATGAATGTTGCTCCAGCTGCCACTGCCGCTACAGCCACTACTGCTACTGCAGCTGCTGCTGCTGCTGCCACTACTGCTACTGCTGCTGCTGCTTCTACTACCACAGTCACCACCACTTCCGAAGCTACCGACCTGGCCGTTCTCACTCCGACAACCACGCAACCCCTCAGCAGCAGCCCCACCTTTCCCGCCCACTCTCCCGCTCGCTCCAGCAGCTACCTCGTGCCTCTGGTGCTGCTCCTCGGACCGTTCCTGCCTTCTCCGCTGCAGCAGTAGCTGGTGAGACGCACACGTGCTTCGAGGCTCCTCGGGAGGTGATGGATGGGATAGCTGCGGGTGGGAAGGTGGAGTAGCAGCAAGCGTTGCAGCACCAACAGGAGGAACAGGAGCATGCGCAACAGCAAGCGCAGCAGCAGAGCCATCGCCAGCAAGCGCATTGGCTCCTGCAGCAGTTAACCATGGGAAGGACGAGAAGCAAGGAAACCCGTACAATGGAGCAGGAGTGGGGGGGAAAGGAGGAGGAAGAAGGGGAAGCGAAGGTGGGAGAAGAGGAGGGGACGACGGTGCGAGCTGGTACAATACAAACGGATGCGACAGCAGCTGCTGCACTGTAGGCCGCGCGGTGGGGTCTCTAACGAAGCACCTCTTAAGGAAGTCTTTTCCGTCGTGGGATAAGCCCGGGGGAGGCTTGGGGCGCTTGAGTGTGGTGCGGGCGAGAGGGAGGAGGAGAGGGGAGGGGGGGTGGGGGCCCACCGCAGGGGTGGTTGGGGATTGGCCTGTAGCTAGCTCTATCACCGTGTATCCAAGAGACCATATATCTGCTGCCTTCGCTGCTGCTACCTGCGCTGCCGCCGCTGCTGCTGCATCCGCTTCTGCAGTGGCAGCAGCAGAGCCAGCAGCAGCGGACGTCGGCGCTTCCACCCCTGCAGCCTGCAACCACGCCAGCATCTGCATAGCAACAACCCCCCCTTGCTCCTGCCGCTGCCCCTGCTGCTGCTGATGATGATGATGATGATGATGATCTCCTCCCTCCACAATAGCTGATCCAAACCCGCAGAGCTTCAGCAGCGGATAGCTTACGGAACAATTAGCGGGGTAAGTATTGCCCAGAGGATAATTTACAGGATAGGCTCCAGAATACCCCTCACCGTGTGCGCTCAATGCGTCTACGAGCACATGCGCGGCGCGCAAGTCGCCATGCGCGACCCCTCGAGCGTGAATCGCGGCGAGGCTCTCCAGAAGGGAGCGAGCGAAGCGACGAATCAGAGCCTCGTCAAGCCCGCCGGGAAACGCGGAGAGCAGGGAGCCTAAGCTGCCTCCGGAGACGTGCTCCATCAGCAACGTGACGAAAAATACCTGCTCCTGCGTCATATCCGCAAGATTTAAATACTGCTGCTGCTGCTGCTGCTGCTGCTGCTGCTGCTGCTGCTGCTGCTGCTGCTGCTGCTGCTGCTGCTGCTGCTGCTGCTGCTGCTGCTGCTGCTGCTGCTGCTGCTGCTGCTGCTGCTGCTGCTGCAGGAGATGAGCTTGCTCGAGCTTCCACGAATCCTGCTGGGGCGGAACGCGTTGCTCCGCCGCGGCGGCCCCGCCAGCGGCTTCCGCTGCGCCAATCAGCTCCGTCGACCAATCCCAGCCCAGCAGCTGCACCGCATGCGGGCATCCGCGGAGCCGTTCAAGCGCGCGGACCTCGTTAATTAGCACGCGCAAGCCGGCGCGCGCCGTCGTTTCCGCAGCATAATTCCCCGCAGGCACACCGCTGCTACATCTACCCAAGCTGGTAGCGACCGTCGCGTCAGTCGAGCTTCCGCTGCCACCGCTAGGTGGCTCAGTATGTGGTTCACCGTGTGGTTCACCGTGTGGTTCACCGTGTGGTTCACCGTGTGGTTCACTCTGCTGCTTTATGCGTACGCACTTCCCAACCATTAGTCGAGCCGTGGAGTTATCGATCGCTAGATGCGCCTTGCTGCCCGAAAAAAGCGGGCGACCGAGCCGCCAGCTCCTGTTTCTAAGCGGAGGTGGCAAGGGAGGCGCGTGGGGGGGACGTGCCGCGCCGGAGGCAGCTGTGAATTGTTGCCGTTGATTGCTACGCGCTGCGGATGATGGTGACGGATGGATGGAGATTGGTGCGTCAGCAACAGGAGAGATGAGGCAAGTGACGGAGGAAAAAGCGGCGGGTTTTGCGGGTGAGCGAAGGGGGAAGGTGGCGCAACGTGGGTTTGAGCGAGGTGGAGAGTCGTCACTGCGAAAGCCGTCAAGCTCTCTGCGAAGCTCGTCATCGAATTCGCGATCCTCTTCCATAAAAAGCATGAGTTCCTTTTGGAGAAGCGGCTGGTGAATAACTACCGACGCCATTCTTTCGCAGCAACTGATTTCTGAGAGTTCTAAATCAAGTATGCATCTTTTCTTTGAAAACCGCCGATAGATTCAATATCGGAGGGAACTAACACATACCCAGAGGAGAGAAATTTTACTGGTAAACAAGACTTTTGTTCGGCAAGAACACGATGCCTGGAGCTTCGGACGAAAGATACAGTGGAAAGCTGCTGCGTGCTGGAACTGCGAAGGGTGGGGAAAGGAATGCTTCAGCTCTCTAGGAACGCCGCTATTGCTCTCACAAGTCTCGCTCCATTGCACTCGTTCCTTGACAGAACCGCAACGATCAACCGCCTCCACCGCCATGGAAGTTGGATTTGCTTGATACAGCAACACAGAATCAACAGAAAGGGGACTCACAATCAACAGTCGCGAAATCTCACGAAGCTCGTCAGTACACCTAACCACCGCTATTTTCTTTCGGTCTATTTTCAACCCCACTTGCACAAGTGAGGTATGCACCCTTTATAAATCTTTGACCGAGTGTTGTGTGGGGCATCATTAAATTTTAGCGAGAGTCTGTTCCAGATCCCCGAAGAGAGTATACACGATGCCCAACCACTGCACACGAATCTGCCCTGCCCATATTAGAAACTCTGCACCCGAGGTTTTTTTGCCAGCCGGTTGCACCCCACCTATAAGCCCGTTCAACAAGTGGCCAAATGTCTGGAAGACGCCAGATAGGGGACGTGTAGCACAGGACAAAGCCTGTGAACCATGGTTCCTGCTCGTAATGTTGACCCGATTCAAACTCCGCGAAAGTTGTGAACGAAACACAGTTGGGATCGCAAACACATTCGTCTTTGACTGGTCGCCACGTAGGCGGGATCATGGTGCTTCAAACAGAATTGAGCAAGGTTCACCACTCCACGTATACCTTGCCCCAACACGGTACATACCCCTTCTGAACCATCCGATGCTCAACCTGCCCACGTCACAGCCTGTGGTTGAGGTAACAGGGTCTACCCCTGCCAAATTTCATGGGTGAATGCAGGGCCTCAGATAGGATTCAGGGGACCCTGACTTATCAGGGCAGTTCCCCCCAAAAAAAAAAAACGCCCTGATTGATCAGTGCTGAGGTGCATTCAGGATCCTGTTTTGACAGGGTAAATACTAATGTAATCCTGCCCTGTCAGAGTAAAAACTAGTGTAATCCTGATTTGTCAAGGGGGTAAAAAACTACTTTACCAACACTGTTATGTATGTGAAACATTTTCATTCCACGTTCTGACAATACAATAATTATTCAAATCCATCTAGCATCCTCTATCAGCACATCATCACCATCACTAGATCCTCCTGCAACATCATCATCTGAGTCATGGCCGCCACCGCCATGGTCGGCCTTCTCCTGCTGCCTGTCACTGCTGTTGCCTTTGCCACCATCAGCTGCACCACCACCACCACGCTTCTTCACGGCATGAGGGGGGTTGCTCTTACGCTTGGTTGGGCGGCGCTTCTTCGTGTTGCGCCACAGCTCCACAAGGTCTTTCCACTCGACGTCGTACTCCAGCAAGCTCAGCGTCATGAGACCACCAAGCTTCGCGTCGTGCAATCCCGTCCGCTGCCAACTCTTGATGATGTTTTGTCTGGAGAAGCCGCGTTCGCACTCCACAGTGCTAATCGGCAACACCGCCACTGCTACCCATAGCCGCACCAGGTTGGGGTAGCTCCTCGGCCAGTCTGCAGTGGCCATCATCGCCTTCAGGCCCGCATGGAAGGCCTGCTCCTCCTTCGGCGCCCCGGATAGAACCGACAAGAAGGTCCGCATCTCCCTTTTGCACTCCCGCTTCGTCACACCTGGCAGAAGGGACGGGTGATGGATAGCAAGGGACCGTAGTGCAACTCAAGGGGCCATATTACGCTTACTGACACATACAACAAAATCGTATACCGGAGCAAATCACAAAGACGAATACGAGGGGGAGGTTTACTCACCTGGTAGAACTTCCTCTCGCTCGCGCGCGTGGAACATGGTGTAGAGGCCGTCCAGATGCTCAAGGCACTCCGCGTCTCTCGCCTCTCTTCCCCGCGGCCAGGTGCGTGGCATGAAGAGCTTAGCAGAGTTGAGGGTTGACAGACTGCCGAGGCGGAAGTTAATATTGTATATTAGCTCCGTCGCGAACGACCGACATGTCCGCACACACGACAGGAGGTCTCCCGCGCTGGTGGTGTAGCCCTTTACAGCTGTCTCGTGCAGAGTGAACTCGTGAGTGCATGGCTGACAATCACCGTCCACGCCTTGCACACGCACGTCTCGGCTGCACGGCGAGCTGTGCCGCGTGAGAAACGGCGACAGCATTGCGCTTGCACTGCCCCCGAATTGCTGACCGCAATCGATGTAACGCTCCTGGAGGAACACGAGGATCCACCGCACCAGGGATTGCACAGCCATGAAGTCCACCTGCAGGTTGGTGGTGGGGGGGGGGGGGGGGGGGGGGGGGGGGGCAGGGTAGGGATAGCACAACAGAGAGGAGAATAATCACAGAGAAGCACAGGCATACACGTGTATTCGCTGACAGCATATTACCTCGCGCTTCTAAAACATTAGGTTGAGCATGTTCAGCTCGACGTGAATGTCTGCAAGGAAATAGAGGAAGACATGGAACTTCAGAGATGTCACCACCAGGTACATCGTGGGGTCCAGCCGCTCAAGTAGGACCACCACCGCCGGGAAAACCTTCACGAAACGGGCGATGGCGTCACCGCGGCTCAACCACCGCACGGCATGGATGCCCTGAACCTCGAGGTTCGTCTGCGTGAAGACCTTCTGCAGGTCAAAGAAAGTCTTGTGAGAGTTGCTGGAGCGTTCGAGATGTTCAGCAACTGCACGAATGACGGAGTCGACGAGGCCGAGTTCAGTCAGGGCGATCGCAGAGTCTTTGGCAGCGAGAGCTTACCTGCCAAAGGGGCGGGCATGTCATGCAGGAATTAGCGAATGCAAAATATAATATACAATAACAACATTCAGAGGTAAACGATATACCGATGTGCGATGCAGTGAGTTGACACGAGATGGGGAACGGTTAGGCGAAGCCGCGCGGCAAGACCAGCACTCCCGCCGATCATCACCATGGCGCCATCGGTGCTGATTCCCGCGATCTTGCTCAGCTCGATGTTGACGCTCTCCAAGTACGCGGTGAGGACACCAAAGAGGGACCCTGCGTCACCCTTGTCAACAGTAAGTAGAGTTAGAAACTCCGTGACAACCAAGCCATCTCGCAAAAAAGTCACAAACACAATCATGTGTTTCCCGTGCACACGATCGGTGCTCTCATCGCAGCTCAACCCGATAAACGGGCTTGCGTCGATGTACTCGCGCTGTTGGCCGTGGAGGTAGGTCGCCGATGCTACGACAAGCTCCTGGAATCCGTACCTGTAAGGAAGGACAACACAAGGTTGAGGTTATACGGAAACACAACATAAGAATCACCAAAAATATGAGCAGTAAAACCCACTCTTACGTGGTATAGTACGAGCCGTAGCCACTTTTGGGGAAGCCCGGAGTGCCACGGCTAGCCAGATGCCGAACAAGCTGCACCCACATCTCGATTGGTGCATCAGTCTTGGCGATGAAGAAGAGCGTCTCCAACAGAGCCCGCACTTGCTCGTGCTCTAGATCCCGTGCTTGAGGGAGATCCTCGATTCGCTGTTGGCTCTTGACCTTCGCTAGAGCTAACTCCTGATTGTGAAGCGCATCCTTGTGCTTCCCGGACCGCTGGTGAAGCCGCATGGCTTGTGTCTGCACGTCTGTAGCCCCTTCACCCCTCGCGAAATTCGTCTCTGCGCCACCATACTCCATACAGATGGTACACTTCATAGAAGGAAACCCGTAAGACGTCTGGCAAATTACAAGCCAAGGAAAATCAGTAGTCCAGGACTTTTTGAAATTGAAAAGCGCTTCCTGGTAAAGATTCTCAGCGATGTCGGGCAACACTGTGTCGGCTGAAGCAGAGGGGCTGGTTGATAAGAGAACGGTCAGTGTAGCCTCGGTGGGTTGGGTTTGATCTTGCCTGGGTGGTGCCATGGATGTGCGCTCGAAGGAGATCTTGGTCTGGTGGAAGCGTGGATTTGCAAGCTTCTTGGAAGGGGGTCCCACACGGACAGACCCTTGCACGGCTGCACGCGAGCATTCGGCCCGTGTTCGAATCGGCAGTGGGAGGTCCGAGTTGTCGACGACAACCTCAGTGACTGGACCTGACGGAACTGCAGGCGAAGGGTCTGCTGGCGACGGAGCTGATGGCGGAGGTATTGGTGGCAAATGAGCCGATAGCGGAGGTTATGCTGGCGATGGTAGTGACGGCGACGGTTCCACTGGCGTTGGAAGGGCTGTCGAGGGTACTATTGGCGAGGGAACGACTGGCGCAAAACGAAGGAAATTGAGGCCCGTTAAGGGCTGAATAATTACGGGTTCGTCAGGCATGACGGGGGCTTCACCGACGCCCTGTGGCAACGGTGAAGCCATAGGCGATTTCAGCTTCGGAAACAACGTGTGAGATACGATGTCGAGGAGGTTGCAAAATGCGGGCGGAAAAACACTAACAAGAATGATTCTATCACGTTTTGCCCTGCATCAACTAAGGGATGAAGCAGGAGGTGGAGGAACTGCTGTCAAGAAGAGGAGGAGATGGAACGGAAACCCTCCTTCTGGAGAGTTCCACGGTCATGCGCCATGGCGCCCCGTCGTGACCTGAGGTGTGGACGAGGTTGGCCGAGAGCATGTACCCGCCTTTGATGGCCAGGGAGGTAGCGCATGGTTAGGTTTAAGCTAAGCGTGGCAAAGTTGCCGCGTGCTGCGTGGGTTCTTTACTGCGGCGGGTCCTGATTGGTCGAGATGGCAACTTTGATGTGTCGCTGTACAGCCACGCGCGAAAAAATCTATACAGCGGTGCAAATTTCATCATTTCCCACCGCACATCTCGCATGTTGCGCTGTACCCCTGTCGGTAGTTTTGTATCTAGTCGCCAAATTTTTTTTTTCGCGGTATAGGCTGATTCAGGGTACTTTCCAATAGGATCCTGATGGATCAAGGTCCGGGTTACTTTTAAATCCTGAGATCACAGGATGCAAAATCCTATAAATACTGATTTTTCAGGCCGGTTTTTATACAAATACTGAAATGTCAGTCCTGGGGCACCATGCAGATCCTGAAATCAGGGCATTCAGGATCTTTTATCCTGATATCTGAGGCTCTGGGTGAATGCATGCCATGCACTTGCTATTTCGCAATCCTCGCCTAAAGCTAAACCATCTCCTCGCACCCTGGTGACCAGAGCTCACCTGCGGGCATAAAGTGCTGATGAATTCCACTCGACACCAGTAGCTCTTCACCTCCGAATCTAGCCATGCCTCGTCTTTACCACCGTTCACAGCTCGCCGTACATATCAAGTGGGCTATCTGTGCCCACCATGTCGCAAACCCCCAGCTGCGCCACGTCAACCTTGCGCGCTGGTGTTTTACTCGCTTCGGCATTAGGCCCGACCGGTCGATGATCGGGCGCGTTCTGAAAGGTGCGGAACGATGGGCTGCAACGGCGACGGACAACAACATCGTCCATGTGCGGGGCGGCGCACACCCCGCACTTGAGCACGCAATGGTCGCTTGGATTGCCAATGCGGGGCCGGCCGGCGTTCCACTCACGCTCGCGACCATCTGCGATCACGTCGCGAACATGGCCCGCGACATGGGCGGCGTTCCTGCGGAATTTTGGTGCTCCATCGGCTGGGTACGCCGTGCGTTGCGTCGCCAGGGCGTCCGCTGCCTGAGCGCCGTGGGAGAGGCGGCGGACCAGGACATGACCGCGGTGCGCACGACTCGTGAGAAGCTTCCGCAGCTGGTGATGCATCTCTCGGTATCCGCCAGGGATACGTACAACTTCGACGAAACTGCACTTTACATCTCTGTGCTGCCCCGGAAGACTTACAGCAATCGGCGCATGGCCAGACGGAAGATCCCGAAGGACCGTCTTACCGTCGGCCTCCTCGTCAACGCCGACGGTTCTCATTCGTTCCGCCCCTTGGTCATCTCAAAGGCCAAGAGGACCCACGACTTCCGCCCGACTATAACCCTGACGAGGTGTGCTACTGGCGCACTTCGGCGAAGGGATGGATGACGACCGAGGTAAGGCTTTGCCAAATACGTTTATTCGTCACGCCCAATGAATCGGTTTCCTATTTTACCGTGAGTGTTGTCACTCATGTTTACCTTTCACATGATTCTTACGCATCATTTTCCAGTGCTATTTATTGCAGGTCTTCACTCACTTCATGGAGCAGCTCAATGCCGCCATAAACGCCGAGGAGAGGAGTGTCAGAATATTATGCTATAGCCTGTAGTGGGGTGCTCTATAGCGAGTACAACCTTTCTAGGGTTTGCTATTTTTATCCTCATTCTTGGTAGTGGAACCCTCTTCTTTCTTCTAAATTTTAACATGCTATCAGAGCAGGTCGATCCCCCGGGAGGCGCTGCGACGGGCGACGAGGACCCGCGCGTCGCCCCCCGTCGCCGCTCCTATCGGCCCCGAACCGCCGCCAGCGGCCCCGTCGTCGCCGCCAGCGGCCCCGTCGCCGCCACTTGCGGCCCCGGCCCCGCCCCGGCCATGCCTCGTCGCCAGCCGCGGCGCACCGGGGGCACGTGCACCCCCACCCCCCCCCCCCCCCCCCCCCTTTTCCCGTCGCCTGTCGAGGCGACGGGAGGTGCGACCTGGGGGAGGGGGGCGAGCGTCGCCCCTTTTGCCGCCTACTTTGGCGCCCAGGTAGGCCGCGCGTCGGCCCCGCCCCCCCCCACCCTCGTAACCTCTCTACCCGCCATCCCGCCCTGCCCTGTGTTCGGGTTTGGGGGTGGCGAGTGGGGGGTGGCGGGTGTGTGGTCTCCCCTGCTCCTCCTCCTCCTCTGTCTCCCACTGCTGCAGCTGCCGCTGAGGGGGGTGGGTGTGTGGGAGTCGACGGAGTGGTGCTAGGGGGTGGGGTGTGAGTGACCCTAGGGGTGTAGTAGGGGGTGTGTGAAATGGGGGTGGGATAGTTTGGGGAGGTTGAAGGGGGTGGCCGCCGAGAAGCCAGCAGCTCCAGTCGCCCGTGAGACCGTTGCGCCAGTCGCCCGTGAGCCCGTTGCGCCAGTCGCCCGTGAGCCCGTTGCTCCGGTCGCCCGTGAGTCCGTTGCTCGTCTGCCGCTACTTTTAGCCGCGGAGCCAGTTACTCCAGTAGCCCGTGTGCCAGTTGCTCCAGTTGCCAGTGTGCCAGTTGCTCCAGTTGCCCGTGTGCTAGTTGCTCCAGTTGCGCCGTGTGCCAGCAGCTTCAGCTGCCGCCCACTACCTCCTCTCATAGTCCCTCCTCCTCTACACTAGCCCTCTGCGATAGCCTCTAGCTTTGCTCATAATTGTGAACTTTAAACTATTGCTTCTTGAACTTGTGCTCAGAATGTGTGGTGACATTGTGATCCACCCTTAGCTTGTACTACTTTGCTTGCTCTGCTGATTATACCCCACTTTGGCTATGGGGGTGTGTCAGAATATTATGCTCTAGCCTGTAGTGGGGTACTCTATAGCAAGTACAACCCTTCTAGGGTTTGCTATTTGTATCCTCATTCTTGCTAGTGCAACCCTCTTCTTTCTTCTAAATTTTAACAAGGAGCATTGTCATCCTCATGGACAATGCTAGCAGCCACGTCCTCAAGTCGGAAGGGGCCGAGACGGAGGACCTGTTCGGATTCCACACGCGCAAGCTCAGCAACCTCCGCATCGTGTACCTGCCACCTAACACTACGTGTTTCACCCAGCCCCTCGATCAGGGGATCATTGAGACGGCGAAGGCGCGGTACCGTGCGCATTGGCTCAGCGCCTTCACTGCGCAGTGGGCCGGCGCCACAACCGCGATGGCGAGGTACAGGCCGAACCTCCGCAACGTCCTGGCCTGGCTACTCGACGCTTGGATGAACATCGAGCGTCGCACGATTCAGCGCTGCTGGTGGCGCACAGTGTGCCTGCCGCGTGCGTGGGAGATGCAGCTTGAGCACGTCCGCAACGGCGACGCAAGCGGCAACGGCGCCGCCGCCGGCAACGGCGCCGCCGCTGAGCTCGACGAGGCAGTGGGCGATGTGGGGATCCTCATCGACCGCCTTGGCCTTGGGCCTTCGGCGATGCCGGCCGCGGAGTTCGTGCGCGTCGACGAGAATCAGCCGACTTGCGCCGAGCCGGGCGAGGATCCGCTTGCGATGGAGCCGCCGAATGTGCCGGCGCCAGAGATGTGGGAGGCTCCCGCCAGTATGCAGGCCGTTTATGACGATGCCAATCTGGCATGTCGTGAAGCACGGCGCTACGTGCGCGCCGCGAGCGAAATGCTCATCGGCTACGCGAAGGCGACCGGCATCACCCCGCGTGACCTCTGCGCGCTGTTCGACATCCGCAACCCCATCATCAGGGCCCGGATGGAGCGCGCAAGTCCGCTGCTCAATCTGAACCAGACCCCACCTCCCGCCACGCCCGTCGGCTCCACCCCGCCGGCGGAGACCCCTCGCCGCCGTGGGCGTGTGCTGCCGGCGTGGATGACGGCGCCGACCCCGCGTTGGGTCACCCTGGCTCAGCAGGCGGCTCGCCGCCAGGAGCTCATTGAAGTAGGGGCGCCCGCTGTGATGGGCGGCTTCCTGGATGCGGCCGAGTGCATGAGGCTGTGAGGGGTGTTGATACCCCCTTGTGTTGATTTCGTTTCGGTGCTGTAAATGTGCAAGACTCGTGCACATTGACATCAGCTTGGTGCAATCCATGTGAACATTGCATGGGAGACAGGTGGGGCTTGTTAATTGACGGGGTTGGGCTGGTTCGTATGCTGTGTGGGGGAGAGATGTTGTTTGTGATGAGATGGGTGATGTCTTGTAATGGGGTGATGTCTTGTAACCGGGTCCACCAACAAACAACAAGTAAGTCCGCCCTGCAATATGCGGAATAAAACAAACGTGTTACAACTAGTGTTAGATAAAAGCACCTGGCAGTCTAGGCGAAACCTGACGAACTGGGCGAAAAGCCAAAATCATTTATAAGCCTAGAGGGAGACCCAAGTATGGGAGACTCTAACGAGCATCAGGTGTAATGTAGAATTGCGCTATGGATTCAGATTCGCATAATGAGCTTGTACGACAAGATCGAGGAGCCAGAATCTGGGGCATTGGTTGGGATGGGACAAACTCAAGGGATCTAGAAAGAGCTGGCGTAACAACAAAGTTTGACTGCAACTGACATATCGTACAAAGGTTTCAGCTCGGTTCCGTTGGTTTCTAAACGTTTTAAGTGCAATCAAGAACGATTCGGTCTGGTGCTGCATGATATTGACCACGTTCTGTGGTTGTGGTGTAGCGGCCCGTTTCCTCAGCCCGGTGGTCAGGCGAAAAGGGGGCAGCATTGGGATTTTCTGTGGGGATGCAAATTGTAACTTTTCCACACAGCCGTCAGGTGAGGGCGTGAGGTAGGGGGGCATGCCCTCACCGCGCCACAGGCCAGAGATCCCATGCGATTCGATAAGTTGAGAGCTGGTGGGCGGCGGCTTGAAAATTCCTCAGGCCAAAAATCGGGCCAATACTCTCCATGTCTGTGGGCTGACTCATCGTTGCATATCCCAATTTATGGACTGGTGTTTGAGATTTGGTAACAGCAATCACGCTTTAGTATTACCATTGCCTACATACTGTAAGAGAAACGCTATTCCTAATTGATGACACAATTTAGCCAGGAAATTTTGAAGGGAGGAGTTACGTATGCAATGAATGGAGGTAGCGGGGATTGCACTAAGCGTCAAACGAGTACAAAATGTGAGCGAAGACATGAGCGAACATTTATACGCGAAACATGCAAACGGTAACGCAATGCGTGCGAGCTAGCTAGTGCTAGGCTGGCATAGAGGCTCGGGCTAGTCCCGAAGCGTAGGCCGACACGGCCGGAACAGCGGTGCATGGTGGGGTGAAACAGTGCGCGCGAAGTCCGAGAAGCCCCGTTAGCAGTAACGGGCGAACAACGGCTGTTTCTGTACGCGATGTTGCTGGATGCGCTAAGGAATATTGAGAAAATTCCTTACACTACCCCCCCCCCCCCCCCCCCATGGAGAAGCCCCCTCCGCTACGCGGGTGCATGTATATCGTGGAAACCCCAGCTCCTCGGGTACACTTGCAGGGCAGGGTGGTGTTCAATGTTGGCCAGAGGCACCCAGCTATCCTTAGTTGACGTGCGATCCTTCCAGCGAACGAGGAACTCGATCCTCCTGATTCCCGTGGGGCTCGGGATCTTCTCGGGCTCGATGATCGGCTCCGATGTAGAGCGATTCATGGATGGCGGGCGGTGACGAGGCAGTTGCCTTGTGGTTGGGATGTAGAGGGGAAGCAGGCTGACGTGGAATGATGGGTTGATGTACCAGTTTGTCGGCAACAGTAAGAGGGCGGTCACTGGGATGATCATGTGGCTGACTGGAATGGTCCACAGTAGCGCGGTTGTAATTTTGGCACGACGGGCAATCTTAAGTTTTGTGTGTCGAGCAGGACGTAATCTCTTGACTAGTACGTGATTGGGCGGCGGTTGCGGTCAGCGTTGCGTTTGGCGATGTCATTTGCATTTTTAGTTGCTTCTACGGCTCTGGTTCGGGCAGCCTGCAGAATCTCGGCGAATTGCTGTGCACGTGGTGTAGGGTTGTCCGGACTCGGCGTCATGGGCACTGTTGGGTATTGCCCGTAGTTCAGGTAAAACGGGAACTGCAGCGTCGTTGCGGCGTTGTTGTATGCGAACTCGATCAGGGCAGCTGCTGCAACCAAGTTGTCGGATCGTCGCACGTGTCAAATATTATATATGTGTTATTGCTGTGTAGGCTCTAGTGGGTTAGCCTTTAAGGGGTACACAACTCTAGGGTTTCATACTTGTACTCCAATGTTTCATAGTTCAATCAGTTCTGGATTCTGACATGGTATTAAGAGCTTAGGTTCTAGAACTAAGGGCCCACCGTTCCGCTAGAGGTGCCCTCGTGCACCCCTTTTTTTTAGCACCCTCGTGCGCCTCTCCCCTAGTGCGCCCTCGTGCGCTCTCCTCTCACGCTGCCCGTGTGCAGCACGCTAGCAGCTCCAGCGCGGCCCCGCCGTTTTAGCGCGCGTAGGAAAACCGCCGCCTAGGGCGGCCCGATTTTTTCTCGCGAGCCCCAGCAGGCCGTCGCCCGTAGGCCCCGCTCGCCCCTAGGCCGACGCGCGACCATCAGCCGCCCGCCCCCAGGTCGCAGCCAGCGCACCCAGAGCGTCGCAGCCCCGCCCGTAGGCCGCCGCGACGCTCCTCTAGGCCGCCGCCCGCGCGCTAGTCAGGCCCACGCACAGCCGCGGCCCGCCCGCTACAGCCGCCCACGCGCACGCCCCTCGTCGCGCACCAACGCGTAGCCCAGCCCGAGCCGAGCCGCGCCGCCCGAACCGAGCCGCGCCGCTCGAACCGAGCCGCGCCGCCCGAACCGAGCCGCGCCGCCCGACCTGAACCGCGCCGCCCTACTGTGCCCCACCTGCAGCAATTCCTACTCCTGTTCCTATCGTACTACTGCTGCTACTGCTACTGTTCCTACTGCTACTGCTGCCACTATGGCCACTCCCTCTATTCTCACCTTTGACGGTGAGGGCCGCCCGATTAAGTTTGAAGTTTGGTTAGATGACCTCCACCTGTTCCTCCAGATCACTACCAAGGACGATGTCTCCCTGTATGACCACACGTCAGGCGCTGCTCCCGCACCTCCCGCTACTGCTGACAGTACTGCTCGCTCCCAGTGGCAGACCCGTGATGCTCACGCCCGCCTAGCCGTTCGCAGCCACCTGCCGTTAGATGAGCGCGAGCACTTCGGCCAGCATAAGACCGCTAAGGAGCTGTACGACGCAGTAGTCCCGCGCTACTCCTCCCCTGCCACTACTGCTATAGGCCGTCTCTCACTGCCCTACCTCTTCCCCGACCTGTCCGCCTTTGCCACTGTAGCTGACCTCATCACCCACCTCCGTACCAGTGACCTCAGCTACCGTGCCGCGCTCCCCCCAGATTTCCTCGCCAAGAACCCCCCCCCCCCCCCCCGATGTACCTCACACTGTACCACCTTGTCACCCGCCTCCCTGACTCCCTTCGCACAGTCAGGGACCAGTTTCTTGCCCTCTCCCCCACTGACATCACTGTCGATCTCCTCGAGAAGGAACTCCTAGCAGCTGAGAAGAGCATTGTAGCTGTAGGTGCCTCTCGTGGTGACCCTCGCACCCCCTTCTTTGAGGGGTGCTCCCCCTCCCCCCACCTCGCCTCCATTGCATCTGCTGCTGCTGTCGACTTCCTCGCAGCTGAGGGGGTCGGGGCCGCATCTGCTCCTAGTGGGAGGCGTAAGGGCGGCAGGGGCAAGGGGGGCAGGGGTGGTGGAGGTGGAGGCGGGGGCGGCGGCGGTGGAGGGGGTGGGGGGGGCGGGGGTGGTGGCGGAGGTGGGAGTGGCGCGGGTGGTGGGGGGGTCAATGGCGACATAGGGGGCAGTGGCGGCGGAGGTGGTGGGGGTGGTGGGGGCGGTGGTGGCAGTGGTGGCGGCGGTGGAGCGGGTGGCGGGCGCGGTGGAGCGGTGGAACGTGGGGGGTTCGGTGGTGGCCAGAGGCAGCAGCAGCAGCGTCCCGGCGAGACTCCCTCGCCCCAGCAGCTCCGTGAGTGGTACTCTCAGCGTGGGGGGTCTGGGGGTGGAGGTACCTGCCCGTACGTCATCCGCACAGGTGACCGCACTGGCCGGACTTGTGGAAAGTTTCACACGGCGCAGCGCTGTTTCTTTTGCCTTGATGACGCCTGGCGCGAGCAGTTCCCTGACGCCTCTGAGCTGCCCCGCTGGGCTGATCTGCTTAAGAAGGGAATTGATATCTTTGCTCTTGATTATGATGCTATCCTTGCTACTATGTATGCATTGACTATTAGTGTTGAGGGTGACTGTTACCTGAATGTACCACCCGACCCAGGTATTGGGACCGGTGAGGCTGCAGCTCTAGGTGCTAGTGCGTCTGCTGCTCTAGGTTCTGGTGAGGTTGCTGCCCTAGGTGCTAGTGCGTCTGCGTTTGCTGGTACCGCACCTACTGAGGCACTACACACCTTCACACTGGTCTCATGTCCTTCCCGCTGTTTCTTTCGCGACCGCACTGCCCTAGAGCAGCTCCCTAGATCGGTTGCTGTCACTGACCCTTCCTTTGAGTCTGCTGCTGCGTCTGCCCTAGTTGCTGAGCTTGTCGAATTTGCTGCTCACTGTCGTCTAGACTACGCCGCGAGTCTTGTTGCTGAGTCTGAATCTGTCTGTCCTCCGTCCGTCGGTGGTGAGTGTGCTCTAGGCACGGACGTCCTTGAGGACAGGCAGGAGGACCTTGAGTGTCTTGCAGCTGCTGTGCCTCATCTCGTTTCCATGCTGATTGTCCCTGAGGAGACCCGGATGCTCCAGACATCCCGACCCCACGCTCTTACGCTGAGGCGATCGCGGGTGAGTACTCCTCTGAGTGGCAGTCAGCCATGGACGCAGAGATGGCATCCTGGAAGTCCACTAGCACTTACGTCGACGAGGTTCGCCCTCGTGGGGCGAACATCGTCAGTGGCATGTGGATTTTCAGGGTGAAGCGGCCGACGGGTTCTCCGCCTGTCTTCAAGGCTCGTTACGTGGCTCGAGGCTTCTGTCAGC